TTCCTAGGCCATATGATCCAACTATATTTTCTCCTTAATATTTCTAACTTTGTCATTTAAGTGTCCAACCACAAGGAGCACATCTTGCTTGCATGTTCTGTTTATTGCAAACTGAACCTGATCATAAAACTCATCAAGTTCCTTTCCATCAGTGCTTGGAGAATAAATGTGAGTAGTCGTTATATTAAAGGGTTGTCCATGAAGTCTAATTATTATTACATTATTCAGTCATTGATTGCATTGCAGCCAAGTACTATTGTTGCTATACCTTCCTAACTATGACAACAACACCATTCCTTCTTGGCTTCTTATGTCCTGATTAGTAAACAGTGTGAGCTTATGACTGAAAGTTTCCAATTCTAGTCCTTAGCAATTAGCTGATACCTAATATGTTAATTTTTAGTCAATTCACTTCATCTTTCACTTGTTGAGCTTTCTATGTTCATGTTTCTTATGTTTCATGTTCCACTGTAATACTGTATTTGCCAGCAAATCTGGAGGATGACACAGTGGCCAAGAGATTGAAAGAGGTCAATCTATATTCCAATACCAAAAAAAAAGGAGACTTAACAGAATGTGCAAACTATTGTATAATATCCTTACTTTCACATGCTAGCAAAATAATGCTTAGGATTATCCAATGCAGATTAGAACCTTACATGGAAAAAGAAATGCCAGATGTTCAAGCTGGTTTTAGAAAAGGCTGAGAAACATGAGATATTATTGTTGATGCACACTGGATAATTGAGAAAGCCAAAGGATACCAAAAAGAAAGTCATTAAGTATTTCATTGATTATAGAAATGCCTTCAGTTGGGTTGATCACACCAAGCTGTGGAATGTGCTCAGAAAAATAGGAATCCCATAACATGTCATTGTCCTCATGAGAAACTTACATACAGGTCAGGAAGCCACAGTATGGACAGAACGTAGTGAAACAGACTGCCGCAAGGTTGGCAAAGGAGTGCAACAAAGCTGTACACTTATTTATTCAAGCTATATGCCAAATATATATTAAGGGAAGCTGGAATGGAAGGAGATGCATGGTTTTAAAACTGGAGGAAGAAATATCAATAACCTGCACTATGCTGATGACACTACCCTGATAGCTGAATATGTAAAGGATCTGCAAGCTGAAGTACTAAAAGCTAAGGAGCAAAATGAAAAAATGGACTAAAATTAAATATAAATATGACCAAACTAATGACAGCAGGTACAGCAACAAGCCATAGAATTGGCAATGAAAATATTGAAATGATGGATAGCTTCTGCCTTTTAGGATCAACCTAAAACTGAACTGAACAAAACAACTCAGAGTTCTCACTTGAGGCACAAATGACCAGGCCCAAATTATCCTACTTCAGACACATTATGTGAAGACCTAGCTGTCTGGAGAAGGCTCTAATACTGGGAAAGGTAGAAGGAAAGAGAAGAAGAGGGTGACCAGCAGCAAGGTGAATGAACTCAGTTACTGTGGCAATCAGTGCACTGTTGAAACACCAGGTTATGGACAGATCATCATGGAGAAAATCTATCTATGTGGTTGCTAGAAGTCAAAAACAACTTGATGGCACATCGTCAACTAAATTCACCTTTTCCAGCATGCTGAACCATAAAACCATGTATTAGAGGCAAAGGTCCATAAAATATTTTTAGGTATTGACAAAGTAATTAAACAAACTGTTCTGTCTCAGTTAAAATGCACCCCAGATAGTCTCATTTTGCATTAAATCTCATTTTTTCCTTTGAATATGTAGTAGGTACCAGTATTTTGACGTCAGAAACACCAGATCTGCTATAGATCAGGCATATTCAACTGTCTGCTTATACAAACATAACAGATATACTTTATGCCAAAATCCCTCATTTGCTGCAAATTAGTATGTCTTTGCTTTGTGTAACAAATTCTGCAAGCTTTTTTGTTTTACTTTGGTCTGTATTTTGGATGAGTTCCCTGTTACTAAGATGATAGGTTTCTGAAATCATTAGAATTACCTTTTTCCAAGCTTTCTTTCACTCATTCTGAGGTTACTGTATGTCTTTTGGCATAGATACGTACAGGCCATATTGTTTTAACATATACATGTATTAGGAAATGGAGCGAGATAAGTTGCTTTAGAAACTTTAATCTCTCCAAGGGAAAGATTAAAGGAAGAATTCTTAAGTTTCAGTTGTCATGGAAGACACTTGAGTTGCTTTTGTAGAGGAGAGGTCCTATGCAGAGACATAATTTATGAAGCACCCTTGCCAAAGGAACTTCCCCTCTTGTGTTTAGGCTTTTAATCGTATTCCTGGGGAAGTGCATACTCTGTTTCAAACAGACAGCTATAGAGTAAGCATCCTTATCATGCTGATCCGATAGACAGGATGACAGAATCTTTATTTCTGACCCTTCCATCATCAGATCATCTGCACACATCTCTCTCCTTAAGTGCAGATTCAGAAGAAGAGAGTGAGATGTTTCAAAGTTCACCTACAACTAGTACCAAACTATTATATCAAAAACTACAGGCACTTTAAAGACCAAGAATTTCCCCAAACTGTATTGCTGCATTGCAGGCTCCCCTACTGAAGAGTCAGCTGTAAATCAATGCTAAACCAGCAACACTCTTATAGTAAGAGAAGTTAAGAAGTTAAACAAGCAATTATTACTTTGCTACTATTAATTGCTATCAACTCCATGGCCTAACACCTAACTAAAATAGATGTCATCCATCAAATATTGCAGGTAGACATACAGCAATGCTGTTAATATGCAGATGATGCAGTGATTCTCCCTGTCACCCACGGGCCAAAAGAAGGGGCTTTGGTCTTTATCTTTCTTTTGTAGAGAGCAACAGCTATAGTTAAATTACAGAAAAATCAAGATTATGAGGACCCACCAGCCTGAACTTGCTCACAGGCTACTTGTCCTGCAGCCTGGTTATGGCAATAAGAGAGCCTTACATTTTGTAACACATGATATGGGTCACTCAGATTATGGCAAGCATTTAAATTCAGGTATCTGGATACTGTCCCATGTGGTAAGTTCATCTTGCATAACTCAGCAAGTCAGGCTTCCTCTTCCTCACTTCTCACCACTCACTTTTTTTTGTCTTTAACATGAAATTAAGATCTGCTTAATTAATAATTCCCACATTAATTGCATGCCTCTCAGAGCATCTTAGAGCATAGCTCTAAATTGCCAGCCTTTAAATATAATGTATTTGTCCTAGCATTCCTGTGAACAAATATAATTCCTGCTTGTTATCAGATTGATCACAAAGGAAACAGTTAAGTGTCCTAAATATCAGGCTGGAAATAGCTAGACTTATTGGAACCATGTAGTTAAATCTCAGGAGGGCTGACTCAGTTTATCATTTAAGATAGAACATAAAATCTCTTACAGTATGTGTCTCATCTCATTCAGATAGCAATGTTTGGAAAATAATATGATGTTTCCCTTTGTTACTTTACAACTATTTATAGTTGTAGTTCCTTTGTATTCTACAATTAAAAAAGCACACACGCACAGAAAGCTAATATCCTTTTACCTCGCTATTATTATTTTTCCTCACTCCAGACATGCAAAGCTGTAGGAACACATACTGGGCTTGTATTTAGTACAACTTTAGTATTAATTTTAAAGATTACCTCAGCCACAAGGAAGCCTTTCCTCCAGCTCTGGGTGTCCCATTTAATACAGGACATTTTTGTGGCCAGCAAGAATGGTTCTTATATTTATACCTATAATGTCGGTATAAAAATATCAATAAAAGAAAATCTGGAACATATAATGTTTAGATGCCACAGAGTTGGATGTATCTTGCCATCTAACCAATCACTTAAAGAGATCCTTAGATAGCCACCCAATATTTATATTACCAGGCAAACAGAAAACAATTTTTTAGCTCTTGGTGTAGTTATGGTGGTTTTTCTCATCTTCTGGGAAAACGTGAATTAGGAAAGAATATACAATAAACTCACACTGATTATAACAAAAGCTGTTTCAGGAAAGATATGTGGACAATCTGATGCTCAAATTAGCAGCAAGCACAGCTTGTAGCAAGAAGAGTCTTACTTTGTACATGATACAAACTAGAGTAATACAATAACAGGTGACGAGGGACTTTTCAGTCACTTGGTAGGCAAGCAGTGACAAAGCTAACCTGGAACATATTGGGACTGATCAATGATACATAGTCTGAATGACTAATCACATGTTCAGAATAATGAGATATTCAAATAGGACTTACAAGGCCAAATAATGGAAATACAGTAAAGTTTTCAGAAATGGAATTTGAAATGACTCCAAAAGTAGCAAGGATTGTCAAGGTGAAAAGGAAAGGAATAATCTGGTAATGCCAAAATAGTGACAAAAAAATAATGTCAAGGTCTGCTGACTATATACAAGCAGCAATTTTATGTATTTATTTACATTCTATTCTAAGCTCATGGCAATATATATAGCATCTTCAGTTTTTTTCCTCCCACAACAATGCTGTAGTTGTGGTCAAAAGAAAGTGACAAGCCCAAAACTATCAACTGAGCTTCCATGGCTGAGCCTGCACTTGAACCTGGTAACCTTGATCAGTATACCACGCTGGCTCTTTATTAGTGCCTCTTCCTCAGCCATCCTACCATGTTATAGCATTGCCTGTGTAGGCCTAGAATATTTTTCCTCTATTGGGAACTGAACGATCATCAGTTGGATAGGTGCGAGGCATCAGTGTAAGAGAACAGAAGACAAGAAAGAAGTACTTTGCAATATTTTAGGCAGGAGACGATAGACATAATAATTTCTGGCTTTGGCATCAAAATCTATCTGACTTTCTATTTGTCTAATGGACTACCTATCTTAATTTTTACACACACACACACACACACACACACGTTTATATATATAGAGAGAGCCATTTTTGTCATCTTGTAACACCATTCTGTATTTGGTTGCCTATCTAGCATTTCTCAAAAATCAAGCAAACAATTCTAAAATGTTTTTCATATCATGCTATTACCAACCATGAAGAAAAGAAACTCTTCATACTGACACATCATGTCTTCTGGTATTTCTGCATGAGACAAAGGCAGATTAGGCAGTGCATGTCAATCTCATCAGGAGGCTGTGAAACGTGTGGAAGGTTTTGTAGACAATCATGCAATCATACACACTGTTAACATCCTGTTTATTTGGCCTGTTCCCTGATTATTGGCTGCAGTATTTCAACATATTGCTAGCAGCTGGGAATTCTTCCAGTGGAACATGCCTTTCCTATGACAGTGATCCAGAGCACAACAGAAGCATGTGTCTGTGCATTATTTTATCATATAAAAAGCACATAGTTTCTCCAAATGAATTGGTTACTGCTGAAGCACTACTAAAAGAGCCCTCTGTGACCTCTGGAGGCCATCTGAGATCATAAATCCTTGGAACCCCAGTTCCGGATTGCTTTGGGCAAGGTCGGAATGGCAAACTTCCCACTTCCACAATATCAGATGTTACGGTAATTCCTTCTAACTAATATGTAAGAGCAAAGGAATGTCTTCAAACCTCATCTAGGCCCTGTGGAATCTGTTGAAAATGCATGACAGCTGTGGGGTTTGGCTGGATTCAGCTTGTGAATGCATGAGATTTGGAAGTTTACTGACTAGAAGAGGAGGGGTGATTGTTTATTCAGTGTCTCTTCCCTCGGCCATTCACCCATGTTGCAGCATAGCTCTATCAACCTTCTGTAAAGTTGCCACAGTCAACATGCATTCTTTATGAATGATTGTTACAAACAACATTTAGTACAATGTAGATGAACAATCCACAGTAGTGGGGACAAAAGAATGATAATGACTTTAGTAAGACATGAGAACATTATTTTTACAGAAAAGAACAGGGACTAAAAAAGAAGGAAGCAACTAAAATCTACATTTATCTCAGCTCCATATGAATGCCAGAGTGTAACAGGGCTCACAGTGCGCCAAGCACATTCTTGGCCCATTCAACTCAACACCAAACAAATCTAAACGAATTAAAGTCCATGAAAGAAAAGAAAGCAAGGTCCTCTCTTCCTTCTGCATCAGCCAGGAAATAAGATGATCTATAAGCAGGGATTGATGTACCATTCATACAGAATTATACAGGCATAAATAGTCTCTATTATTTATACTCATAACTAGGAAACTATAATAGGAAAATGTTATTTCAGAGAGAAAGAGAGAGAGAGAGAGAAAGAGACTCTTAAACTGGATGACATCTAAGGGAAACTAGTTTGTTTGGTCATTTAAAACATCAAACAGATGTACCATATGTATAAGAAACGATCTGACTTGCCATCAGCAAACTAATGAAAATATACCATTTTCATGGTATATGAAAGCTCTGTTTCATATACCAGACTCTTTCACAATATAAAAATATATTCTTAATGAATATTGTTTTCATACTCATTAATTTTTGACTTAACATAGAACAATTAAGCTTTTAACAACCTGTCCCTTTTCCTGTGGACAATTTATTGAAGTACTCTTCATATTAAACAGGTTCCAAAGGTGTTTAGATATACTGAGCATGATTCATTTATAAAGGGCACTAGTATCTGACCCATAACATGAAGGTTACAGATTTTGGAAAAGCCATACTGTACACATTTTATGAGATGCAATAATGGGAACCAAAGAAACTTCACTGAATATGATAGTTCTTAGATTTATCAACTCAGGAGAACCACAGAAAATGTAAGTAATGTAAAGAAACAGAACTAAATGTCGTATAATGCAATTACTTCACTACAGACTGTCATTATTGATCATCCACTTTACAAACTTACATGTAGTTGAGCCAGCAAGCCTCAATGAAATCAGCACCATCTCACTTCTCAAACGTTCAGAATCGTTTTTGCAATCTATTTTATTTAACCAGATTTCCTTGTTGTTTTTAAAGGATGTTCCAGAAGCATGCAAGTAACTATATGTGCATGTGTGCGTTTCTGTATATTGTGGTGGTGGTGGTTGCAGTGTGTGTGTGTGTGTGTGTGTGTGTGTGTAGATAGATACATAAAGCATTAAGAGCACTTTTTTGCTGTTAGGAATGATGCATTTGATCATTACCATTGGCAGTCCAAATCTAATGGCACTGATTCTTTGCACCTCCTCACCACAAGGGGACAGTAAGTTACAGATAGAGTTAAGGATTTACTCTGTGTGTCATCTTTATCTTTCACTCTTCCTGCTCCTAGTCTATGAGAGTGCTCATCTTTTCCTTCCCTCCATCTTCTTCTAAGGTCATTCCTTTCTTCTGCTCAGAGATCCATGCACATAACACTACATTGATTTTTTTATTGATTGATGTATTGATTGGATTGTTGAGGCTGTCTGACTCCAAAAAGATTCTGGGTGGCTTATAATAAAGTTACTCTGTCTGAATATATAGGAAAGGGTTCAGATGATCCCTCTGCATGTTCCATACATTTCTCCAACCCTATTTTATGGCCCCTGGAAGCTTTTCTGATCATGACAAATGGTGATACAACTGCTAGGAACTGATGGTATGATTTTCACCTCTTTAAGGTGGAAACATAAAAACTGTTAAGTATATACTCTTTGAGAATTATTAAATTTAAACTTCTAATAGTTTTTTTTAATCCTCCAAAAGCAAAACAAGCTGGAACATTCTATTTTTCATTATTAGCTCTATAGCTCTCCCCCTTCCTACAAAAATGTTAAGCATTGCTCAAAGCCACTAAAGGTTGCATATCCTTGCATATTAATATGCATAAACTTCTTCAAAGTGGGGATGCTGATTGGTTCACATTCCCATTTTTCTGACAGATCACTATGTGCTCACATGCCAGCCAAACTTGTGGCTAATAAAAGAGTGTGGCTGCCCATTAGTGTATAAGAAATATAAGTAGGAATTGTTGAGAAGACTTATCATCTCAAAAATATTTCTTCAGATGTCACTGATATCGATAAAACTTACTTCTAAATGCATGCTATGACCTTGGTACTTAAATTGTAATAAAACATACACCTGGAGAAAATTTGCTCTTTTGAATGAAAACAGCTATTGGTTTGTTTATTTACCAATATTTGTGGTTGGCCCCAGTAGTGATACACTCTGGGCAGTGAACATTAAAGTACAGAGAGAGAGAGAAATAGAGAGAGAAAGAAAATAAAACAGAGAAAACCAAAACAAAATCAAAACAAAAATGCTAGGATAATGGGTATCCACAGTTGACTAGGGCTGAAGGCATGTTGGAATAGTATAGTTTTTACTGCTTCCAAAATCAAGAAAGGGATAAGGCTGAAGATACTTCCAGAAAAGAGTGTTCCAGAGTGAGGGGGCAGAGACAGCCTGTTGCCTTACTTCTTGGTGGGGAGGGGATTCTCAACAGGCCAACCTAGAAGTTCAGCCCGCACAGCAGATTCAATTCTGGCAAGGTGCTGCCAAAGAAATCTTGGTGCTGCATCATATATGGCATTATAGATAATGACCTACACTGTGAATTGGGCCCAGAAATCTACTGTATTTACAGTCAGTGCAGCAACTTTGAAATTGGTCTTATTCTACACTGATTGGTTGTCCCACCAGGAGTCTGGCCATCACATTTTGTACAAACTGTAGCTTCTGAATCATTTCAAAAGGCAGGATCCAAGCAATTCTGTCATTCTTATTTACTTCTCTGATCATAAGAACTGCATTCTGTAATAGGCTGATTTTAAAACATTTCATAAAAGTGTTTTAGTTTCAGTAAAATGTTTTCCAATGTAGACTTTAATAAAGTGAACAAATTATGATCAAATCACATAGATTAAAGAACCCAGCAGAATTCATGAAATTCTTTTATTTTTGTTTGGGTTTTTTAAAGCAAAGTTAATTGTTGTGGAATTCTAAAACAATTAAATGGTAATGGTTTAAAATAGGTTTTAAAAATTAAATTATGAATTAATATCAGATATGATTTTTATGGAATATTGCTCAATGCAGCTTATCCAAATGAAAATTTGAACTTAGCAGTAATACAGACTTATAGATGAAATCCAGCCTTCACAACTTATAAGGATGATAAGAGCAACAGGATCATAAATTGCTAGGAATATAAAACAAATTGCTTTCTTTTTCTGCTCTGTGATTTATCATTCCACAAGTCTCATTCTAGAGCTCTGGTTTAATAATCACCCTTGTCCTGTAATGATATATAACATAGTCTTAGAAAGATTGTCTGTTTCGACAAAATCATGCAGATTGAAAAAGACTAGCTATATTTTGCCTCTGAAGTGTTTTCAATAGATTGTATCTTTTGTGATTCCTGCATTTACAGAAATCAAAGCAGGCATTCCAAACAAGGCTTAATTCATAGTCCAAACATGATGCAGACACATCACAAATGTTACAAGTAAAAGCCAAGTGAACTTTCATCATTTGTATGGGCTACAAAGGTTATGCCTAGACAAATCTGGCTTGCAGTTTTCTCTTTATGCAAGAAGTATTCTATAAATAAGTACCTATTTTGATTTTATTCTCATTTAACCCATTTTATTCCATGGTTATGTGTCCATGCATCACCCAACAAGCCTATCCTGAAAGCTGAAAGAAATAAAAAACAAACAAACTGGTCAATGCTTAAAGGAAACTAGCATGTTACACAGACATTAGGTTTAAGGCTAGAAGCCCTGTTGTATGGATGATCCAAGATAAGCAGTTCAAAAGGTGGTGTTAAGGGGAACCACTTTCTACAATCAGTCTTAGCTTGGATAAATAGTTGAATTCAAACATGATAGAAATATTTTACTCAGTACAACAATCCAAAAGCAGGATCCAACCTACCTTTGATGGGTTGCAGTTCCCTCAGTTATCCAACTCGGGAGACTTGCTGAGTAGACTTTTGTTCCTGGATATTCAAATGATGGTTGCAGAACAGGAATATTTTTGCCCAGCTGAAGGTGTAGATGAACCTCTATCTGGAGAAAATGGGCATGGCTGTGATGCCATATTTCCTAGTTACTTATGGATTCAATTCAATTAATACAATATGCTCTACTTGAAGTTGAACAATGTTCTGAACATACAGCTGATGTAGCATGCTGCTGTAAGACTGTAATTTCATAGATATAGTTGTTGAGAACATGTCATACCT